AATATCTCTTTGGATTTGAGACTTTAGTCTTTGCAACGTTACAGATCTTCTTTATGCACCAAGAGCTTGTAACACTCCAAAGAGAAAGGAAAAATTAAAATCGCATCATATGACCCCTTTAAGATTACATCACTCGCTCTCCAATGGATGCTCTGCAGTGAATGGGTGGTGTCAGAATGAGAGTCCAAACAGCTGATAAAAGCATCACAATAATCCACAAGTAATAAACCAATAATTAACGCCTTGTGAAGTGAAAAGCTGCGCTTTTTTAAAAATAATAGCAATAATTAAACAAACAAACAAACAAACATAGATAGATAGATAGATAGATAGATAGATAGATAGATAGATAGATAGATAGATAAACAGTGGATATGCTTTTTCACTGGAGGAAGCGTTATTATGGATTTGTATTTTGGCCTTAATGATGGATTTGTGTCTTACAAAGATGCAGCTTTTCCATTCACAAGATGTTAACTAATGGACTGGAGTTGTGTGGATTACTTGTGGATTATTGTGATGCTTTTATCAGCTGTTTGGACTCTTATTCTGACGGCACCCATTCACTGCAGAGCATCCATTGGTGAGCAAGTGACGTAATGCTAAATTTCTTCAAATCTGTTCTGATTAAGAAAGAATCTCATGTACATCTGGGATGGCCTGAGGGTGTGTATACATTTTCATCGATTTTCCTTTTGTATCAGTATAACTGATATAATAACTAATCAATATAACATCATAAGGATGTTTATAGTTTTTCTTTTTCTTTGAAATGTCACCAGTACCCAGGTGCTTGCAGTAAGAGCCCGATCCCTTTCAGAGGAACTCGATGAAACCAGATGTGCACTGAGGGAGAGCCAGGACAGAGCCGCAAGAGCACAGGCCAGCAACTGTGCCTTAGTATGAATCATTCACGCTCTTGAAGTCATAATACTGGTGACACTTGTTTTATAAAAGACTATTCTTACCCAATGCCTTGACATCTGTCTTTTAGATAAAGGAAAGCGAACGCTTGAAAGCCCTAATCAAAATAACTGAAGAAAAGGTACTGACTTTTATAGAATCATAGAGTGTGAATAAGTATTTCGAAATAGTTCTGTTATGTGCTAAATCACAATATCTTCCACAGAATGAAAAATTAACCCTTGAGAGGAACCTTGCTGAAGATCGAATAAACAAACTGAGGAGAGAAAACTCTGAATTAAGGGTGAGAAAATGTGTAAGTGTGCATTGTATATGGCCACAGAGTTGAGCTAGAGTATATAAATACTGTCTGATCATGTTCACAGGGAGAATTAGAAGAATCTCATATGGTGCTAGCTGTGAAAGACCGGGACCTTATAAAGGTGATATTAAACTCTGCGGTGGTCCTTTTTTTACTATGTCGAGTACATTTTGTCTTTCTTTATGGCACTTGTTGTTTGTTCCACATAGAGAAGCATCCTGCTGGAAAAGCTTAAGGACACTCACTTTGAAAGTCACAAAATTATTGAGGTATTCCGTTGTTGAGAATATGCTCGTGACCGTGTGAAAGCATGGTTTGGCTGTTCAGTAATGGTGTTCTGTTGTCTGCTAATGCATCTGAAGGGCCTGCAGTCAGAACTGATGAGGCTACAAGAGCACTCACAGCAAGCCCTCTTCAGGTAAACACCACCGATGTCGTTTCATTAGCAGGGAAAATCAGTTGGTACTTATGAAAAGCAGCAAAATGTATCATTATTTATACTCTAAATGTACTCATTTTTGGCAGGTTAAATAAATGCCACATCAGTTCTCACATTCCTCAGAGGACAGGTGTGACAAACCATCAGTCTCTGCATCATGAGATTCAGGAAGCTCGACCGGTAACAGTCCGTTTCACATTTACTGCTACAGTGAATAATCTCTCTGATGCATGAATTATTTCAAAGTTAATGTCCAAATGTATCTTTATAAAAGTTCACAGTGTTTTTGGAGATTAAATATAACTTGGATAACAATAATGAACCAACAGCCAACATGTTTGCCATTAAATAAGCTGCATCATGGCATTTATGTAAAAATTTTTTAAAATAAAACAAAACAGAAACTCATTAGAGGGGAAAGCTGCAATATCATCACAAAATTGCAAAATTGGCATTTATGTAAAAAAAATATTAAAAAAATTATATATATATATATATATATATAATAAAATAAAACAAAACAGAAACTCATTAGAGGGAAAGCTGCAATATCATCACAAAATAATTATCATTGCTTATTGCACTAGATCAAGCCTAAAAGTTACTTCTGGGGAGACATTTTTGTTCATTTTGGTGGCATTTTTTTGCCTGAGGTCCCCATTAATTTCTGACACTGATGCACAATCTAACAGCTAACACTGCCCACGATGTGAGAAAGAAGCCTTTCTGCAAATTAAATGTTTACGCCAGTGGATTTTGTTTTTTACCACTTTATTAACCCTTTCAAATAACAAACAGACTTTGTCACCTTTCCGCTGTTAAACACATCAACAATAAATCCAAGCAGCATATCATAAAAACAATAATACATAATAAAATAATTAAAATGAAATAAAAGTAAATAAATTAAATTAAAAAACAAATCACATTTCAGGGGATTAATCCGTGTATGTTGCCAGTAATTTAGAAAGTTTTAAGGCACGTTTGTTTTTTTGTTGTTTTAAGGATTGAAATAAAAATAATGAATGATTTTTAAATGTCTCAAAACCTAGAGAAACTTGAACAAATCTACATTCGTTTAAATAGAACTTGTCTACTATCATCATATCACACAAAATTAAATATGTTTTGTTTGCGCCAGTAGGTGGCGACAGTGACTGTCTTTTTGAGTGAATCATTGAATCATTCGGTTCAGAACCATCACCGATTCCTTCTGAACCGAAGCTTCAGTATTGTATTGATTCTGTTTTAGCTGTGTTTCAAAGTTTTTGTTGGCAGCCCAGAAATAGACATTATGGCATTATGTCTTTAAAATGTAAGTTACTTGATTAACTGTGTATTGAACTGTTGTTTAAAAACAATATCTTTCTCATAATCGCTGTTAATCTCATTGCATTGTCTGCAATGCACTGAACGGTCAAACAATCGCGCGTGCTGGTTTTTAGATGCAGAATCGCAGCTTCAATTAAAGACCATCAGTGCATCAGAGAGAGTTAAACAATTTAAATGTAATGGCTGTACATTATGTTGGGTAACACTTTACTTGAAGGGGTGTGCATAAGACTGACATGGCACCTTCATAATCATAATCATGACATGACATGTCATGAATATGAAGGAGGTTTTATGCATGTTTATGACAACTGTCATTAAGTGCCATTCGCTCAGTTATGTCATTTTTAATGCAAATATGACATTATTTAACCTACCCCTAACCATAGACCATAACAAAGACATCTCAAACAATGTCATCTTTGCATAAAAATGACATAACTGAGCGAATGACACTTAATGACAGTTGTCATAAACATGCATAAAAAAACCTTCATATTCATAACATGGGTCATGTCATGATTATGTATGTGTCATGTCAGTCTTATGCACACCCCTTCAAGTAAAGTGTAACCTTATGTTGTCCTCTTTTCTTTCAGTCCCAGAATGTGGCTGTGGAGTTGATTAGTGGTTCACTGTGCCAGATCTTACCCAGCGTCCCTCAGAGAGGAAACATCCAAAGCCTCCAGAAGATCAAACCTGTAGAGATTTCCCATATACTGCACGCACAGCTCTCCGAGACTGTGAGCAACATTCACACAACATGCACATGATATACTGGGGGCTTTGTCTGAAGTTACTAAAATAGTAACAGTGAATGAAAGTTATTTTACAGTTTAATGATAGTATTATTAGTAGAAGTAGTAGTAGTACTAGTAGTAGTATTCAGTCCTCACAGAAATGACCGCTGCAGCATTTTTGAAAATTGCAGTGATATTTGCAGCATTTTTGTGTTGTTTTACTGTAAAAACCCATTAATAATCATGATGTATTTATTATTAGTGTAAGTGATTGGTACAATATGTAATTGATATAGCTTAACATTTTAAATGTGTTTTTACAATTGTAATTTTTACAATTGTCTTTGTCTGTTTTTGTTATATTTTTGCATTTTCTTTTAATAGTATCAACAGATCGCATTCACTCAAATATTTAAAAAGTGCATATCCATTTAATAAATGAACACAAAATCCAGGAGGCACAGAATTATTATTATTATTATTATCATCTTCATAATTGTTGTTGTTGTTGTTGTTATTAAGAATGCATTTTTTTAAATCAAATAGTTCATTTTTGTAAGATTGAAAACCTGATCTGCAGAATCAGACTTAACTCAAACTAAGACCATAAAAATCATTTTCATTACTTTAAAGAAATGTTAAATGAAATGAAATGAAATAAAATAAAATAAACAAAACAGAAAAACTTTTTTATTTCGGCCAGCTTCTCAGGAAACATTGGCATTGTTTAGTTTAACTTGATGTACTAAAATAATTAAAATAAAATTAATACAAATTATAAATATTAATAATAAATGACAAAGCACAACTAAAACTAAATTACTAAAACTTTAACTAAAATGAAAATGAAACACAAAATATAAAAATAACCAATTCAAAATGTTAATGAAAAAACCATAACACTATCTCGATGCTAATATAAGACTCTAGTCAACACAAAAATGAAAATTTGATTTGAAACATTAAATTTTACCCTCGTGTCATTCCAAACCTGCAGTACTTTCTTGTTTTGTATTATGTGCTCTTCAGGACAAAGTTGGCAACAGTGCAAGTGAGAAGTTACAGAGACTCTATCTGCAGAAGCAACAACAACATGGAAGTTCTAGGCATCAGCTGGTCACACTGTAAGGAACCACTTCTGATATCTTCTGCCATCTTATAACTTTGCTTTGCATTGCATGATGCATGTTGTCCATTTGCTTTCTAGTCTGAAAGAGCTGGAGCTTCTTGAAACCCCGCTGGCAGCACAAGAACAGCACAAGGCCAAGCATCAGACGCAGGAAGCCCACATAGCGGCCGCCATCACCTGGTGGAGAGGCCAGACTAAAGAGGGCAAGAAAAACCAGGCTGCCCAAGTTCCACAAGAAACTGTGATGGACATTCGGAAGCAGATCCAAAGCCTGGAAGTCAATCACATTCCAGCCCAGCTGGAAGAGACTAAGCGTGGCATGAAGGTGCTTCTCAAAGACCAGGGAACGAGCACCTGTGACGACGCTCAGATTCAGTTTAGGGACGTGGCTGTGGTCACTGATTCATCAGCAGAGCGTTTGGCTGCAGAAGAGCTGCTGGAGTCTCTGAGGAAAGTGGAGGATGTGGTTTCGCAGGCCTTGCGGGCAGCTCAGGTGCTCATGGGCAGCGAGGAGAGGATAGAGGCCATCGGCATGAGGGTGGAGAAAGCACTGAGCAGAGCAGAAGCTACTGAGAGTCAACTCAGTGCCCTGGAGGCCACCATCTCTGCTAACACACAGGTATGGAATAGAATGACTTGCACCACATGCATGGAAAAGTTATGATGTGGTAATGTTTTAATTATCATTTTAAAGTCTCGTATGCACCTATAATATAGTATAATACAGAAAAAACTGTTTAAATGTTACTTATTCCTGTGATGGCAAAGTTGAATTTTCGGCAGGCGTTACTCACATGATCCTTCAGAAATAATTCTTATATGCTGATTTGGTGCTCAGTTGATGATTGTTCTTCTTATTAATTAATGTTGAAACAACAACGTTTTTGCTACCTAAGATTAAACTGTGATACATTTTGTCTTCCTTTCATTCTTTGAGAAGAAAGTCCAATTAACAGCATTTTTTTTAAATAGTAATCTTCCTAACATTATGAATGTCTTCACTTTTTAATTCATCCTTTCTGAATAAAAGTATTTTTCTTGATCTGCTTACCCCCAATTTTTTAATAGTAGTGTATCATGGTTTCCACAAAAATATTAAGCATAAATCCATTTAATAAATGAACACAAAATCCAGGAGGCACAGAATTATTATTATTATTATTATCATCTTCATAATTGTTGTTGTTGTTGTTGTTATTAAGAATGCATTTTTTTAAATCAAATAGTTCATTTTTGTAAGATTGAAAACCTGATCTGCAGAATCAGACTTAACTCAAACTAAGACCATAAAAATCATTTTCATTACTTTAAAGAAATGTTAAATGAAATGAAATGAAATAAAATAAAATAAACAAAACAGAAAAACTTTTTTATTTCGGCCAGCTTCTCAGGAAACATTGGCATTGTTTAGTTTAACTTGATGTACTAAAATAATCTAAAAAAAATTAATACAAATTATAAATATTAATAATAAATGACAAAGCACAACTAAAACTAAATTACTAAAACTTTAACTAAAATGAAAATGAAACACAAAATATAAAAATAACCAATTCAAAATGTTAATGAAAAAACCATAACACTATCTCGATGCTAATATAAGACTCTAGTCAACACAAAAATGAAAATTTGATTTGAAACATTAAATTTTACCCTCGTGTCATTCCAAACCTGCAGTACTTTCTTGTTTTGTATTATGTGCTCTTCAGGACAAAGTTGGCAACAGTGCAAGTGAGAAGTTACAGAGACTCTATCTGCAGAAGCAACAACAACATGGAAGTTCTAGGCATCAGCTGGTCACACTGTAAGGAACCACTTCTGATATCTTCTGCCATCTTATAACTTTGCTTTGCATTGCATGATGCATGTTGTCCATTTGCTTTCTAGTCTGAAAGAGCTGGAGCTTCTTGAAACCCCGCTGGCAGCACAAGAACAGCACAAGGCCAAGCATCAGACGCAGGAAGCCCACATAGCGGCCGCCATCACCTGGTGGAGAGGCCAGACTAAAGAGGGCAAGAAAAACCAGGCTGCCCAAGTTCCACAAGAAACTGTGATGGACATTCAGAAGCAGATCCAAAGCCTGGAAGTCAATCACATTCCAGCCCAGCTGGAAGAGACTAAGCGTGGCATGAAGGTGCTTCTCAAAGACCAGGGAACGAGCACCTGTGACGACGCTCAGATTCAGTTTAGGGACGTGGCTGTGGTCACTGATTCATCAGCAGAGCGTTTGGCTGCAGAAGAGCTGCTGGAGTCTCTGAGGAAAGTGGAGGATGTGGTTTCGCAGGCCTTGCGGGCAGCTCAGGTGCTCATGGGCAGCGAGGAGAGGATAGAGGCCATCGGCATGAGGGTGGAGAAAGCACTGAGCAGAGCAGAAGCTACTGAGAGTCAACTCAGTGCCCTGGAGGCCACCATCTCTGCTAACACACAGGTATGGAATAGAATGACTTGCACCACATGCATGGAAAAGTTATGATGTGGTAATGTTTTAATTATCATTTTAAAGTCTCGTATGCACCTATAATATAGTATAATACAGAAAAAACTGTTTAAATGTTACTTATTCCTGTGATGGCAAAGTTGAATTTTCGGCAGGCGTTACTCACATGATCCTTCAGAAATAATTCTTATATGCTGATTTGGTGCTCAGTTGATGATTGTTCTTCTTATTAATTAATGTTGAAACAACAACAACGTTTTTGCTACCTAAGATTAAACTGTGATACATTTTGTCTTCCTTTCATTCTTTGAGAAGAAAGTCCAATTAACAGCATTTTTTTTAAATAGTAGTCTTCCTAACATTATGAATGTCTTCACTTTTTAATTCATCCTTTCTGAATAAAAGTATTTTTCTTGATCTGCTTACCCCCAATTTTTTAATAGTAGTGTATCATGGTTTCCACAAAAATATTAAGCATAAAAAAAAAAAATAAAGTGACAGTAAATGCATTCATTATCTTACAAAAGATTTATATTTTTTAAATAAATACTCTTCTTTTGAACTTTGTATTCATCAAAGAATCCTGAAAAATAATGTATCAGGAGTAGTGGCTGTTCAAATTTCAGTTTTACATTACAGGAATAAATTACGTTTAATAATATTTCTAAATAGAAAACAGTTGTTGTAAACTGTCCTATATTATAGGTTTTCACTGTATTTTTGATCAAATAAATGCAGCCTTGGTGAGCATAAAACATTAAGAAAATCGTATTTATTCCGAACGTTTGACTACTAGTATGTACGTACAGTATATAAAGTATATAACCTGATTACATCATGTTATAATTGATCTACCATGTTGTTTGTATTGTTCTAGTCATTCTGTATGTCTCAATCCGAGGCCACCGGGCTCCTGGTGGATCGTAGCTCAGCCGCCGTTATGTCCTTTTCCACACCCGAACCTGTCGCTCAGGAGAGCATCCTCACTCCACTTTCATCTGAAAACGGTATTACCGTATTGGCCCGAATATAAGACGACCCCCCCTTTTTCCAGATGTACCTTTTGGAAAAAGGCTTTTTAAAAACCAAATCTTGTTTTTTTCTCAGTAAAACACATTTTGTCTTCGATTATTATCATATTGCATATTTTTCCTATTTTAATTTTTGTTTTGAAAATACGGTAAAAACTGGTAAAATGTACCAACAATCACATTTAAAAAATATACACTTTTTGATATACCATTAAAAAAAAACAATTTCCATCAGAATTAGGACATTTAGGCTATCCATCTAATAGTAGCCTACCAAAATCTTATTAACAGTAGAAGTTCAATCTTACTGTAGTCTTCAAATCTGGGTTCTGTCTTACATTTTAAAATCACAAAGGGAGTTTGGTCCCATCAGGCTAACGTGACAGTCACGACTCATGCAGCTGTAAGGTTTTCTTTTTCTTTTGTTTTTACTCGCGATCTTTACAACACGCATTACATTACGTATTTCATGGCACACTCGTTTTATGCGTATTTGGCGCCACCTATTGTTGTGGGTGTATTATTGACATGTCAAAGTCTAGACCCTGAATATAAGACGACCGCGTTTTTTCAGATGTATTTCCAAGAAAAAAACATTGTCTTATATTCGGGTCAATACGGTATTTACCTCGAAAGTTACTAAAACATTTCAGACGACTCTGAAGCAGTTAATTTGTATGATGGCAACTTTTAGTAACGTTTTATGTAGCAGTCCTTGAATTCTTGTTCGTGTTCAGTGGCTGCAAATCAGAATTGCATACTAGCTTATTACACTTATTTTTTTCTGTAATATATTAATATAAGTAGTATTTTTTTCCAAATTCAGGCTATTTAGTAAGATGTTTTTTAGTAGGACTCTTTCTGTAGCTCACATCGTTATGCCTGTGGTGACATCTGTTATGAGGGAGTCATTGAATCATTCAAACGATCCCTTTAAACCCACTAATTCATTCGGGAATGAACAAGTTTTTGAGGGAAGTTTGTTTATTGAACTGTTGTGTAAAAGCAATATCACAGATAATTCGATTCATGATGAACATTGACTGACATTAGCGTATAAATTTGTCATGGCAGTAGCTTATTTCTTCAAATAATAAACCCAGCAAAAATCACCTGAATAAATGTATAGCGAACAAATCAACTCCATTATTATTGAAATCACTTTTAAAGGCAAAGTGTTCAATTTTAGTGGCACCAAACAGAATTGCAGCTTTAATGATGATAATGCAATGTACCTTTACATTATTTTCATTAATAGAAAAATTGAAATATTACATGAAAAATATAAACTTGCCTTGGCAACTAATTGAAATAAAATACATTTCAGCTGAAGTACTGAAGTAATAAAACCAACACTAAGATACATTTAAATTAAAGTTACATAGAAATATAAAAAAAACTAATAAAAATGACTAAAGCACATGAAATTACTAAAACGTAGACTAAAATTAAAGGTAGGGTATGTAATAAAAAAAAACGCTTTAGAAAACTGATTCGGGCCGAATAGCAAAACAAACTTGCAGCCAATCAGCAATAAGGGGCGTGTCTACTCGTGATGTGGAGGAGAGAGCTTTCAGTGCACAGGACGGACATTAGCCGAGCCGAGCGACAGAAAGATAGAGATGGCGGATAAAAAACAAACGAGGAAAACGTCTGCGGAACGATAAGGCAAGAAGTAGGACCCGTTTAAATATCGGATCAGCTTTCCAGCGCTGGAGAGAACTCAAGGAGCAGAAGGCCTGCGATCGGACGCGGAGGTTGCTTTGTTTCTTCTCGATAGGTGAGTAACACCGAGTCTATAACAGCTAAAGTCTGCCTACACTGGACACGATCAAACGACCGTTGAAAACCATTTGAAATTTGTGTCAGCACATCATAAATAGAACCCGGCAGCAGTTTTCTGTCGTGGATTTGTTGCACCGCGCCGCTCGTGTCCAGTGTAGACACGGTGTAACATTGGTTTTGCTTTGTTTCACAGAACTAATCGTTGCCTGGGTTGCATACGTATGTGTGGGGCAGAGCTATCAAAATAGGGGCGAGACCCTTTTGGGGTAGGGGCGTGTTTGTTTTGGTGATTTCAAATATCAACATTGGCTACCAAAAATCTCTTACCCCACCTTTAAAATGAAAATGTAAAACATAAAAATAAATTCAAAAGAACGTGTATTTTTTAAAATAAATACTATAGTATATGAATAATCTTAAAATAACACTGTTTGGAAAACATGACACCGTTCACTTTATCAAGTACTATATTTATTAATTTTATTATTCGTTTTTATCAGTCAATATGTATTTTAAGTGTACGTGGTATCTGCAATGGTATCTGCTTTTTTAATGTAACACTGAACGAGTGTTTCTTCATAATGTGTATGTTTTTATGTCTTTATGTGCAGTGTTTTTGTGTGTGTTCTCTGATGGCGTAACCCTCTTCCTGCTGTGACTATAGGGAGCTCTGTGGCTTTGGCCCAAGTGCAGCTGCCTCATGTGCTCTTTATAGAGCTGAAGGAAATCGAGATTATCAGTTCACACGTGCAGTATAGGGTCTTAATCACATTGAATCATGTGAGAAGTGGAGACTGTTTTTGTAAAAGCGTAAATTGCTGTGTTTGTTTGCTCATGAAACAACAGCAGATGTGTGTGTGTATACCTAGCACAAAAGGTTTTTGCAACCTTTTTCCTCTGCTTATTTCGTGTATGACAAAAAGTCTTGTATTTGCTTATCAAATGAGTAGTCCAAAGTGAAGTGAAACAGACATGCAATAATATGACTGACCATGCAGCCTGTCTCTAGGATGCTTTGTATTTTATGGCTGATGTCTATAGCTGTTTCATAGAGATAACATTATGTGCATTATGTACAGGTATAGTGTTAAAAAAAAAGTTGAATCATACTCTCTCAGCAAAAGAGGAAAATGACATGAAATAATCTGCATAAAACCTGACTTAAACTATCGTTCAAAAGTCTGGGGTCGGTAAGAATGTTTTTAAAAGAAGTCTCTTATGCTCACCAAGGTTGCATTTATTTGATCACAGTAATATATTTAAAAATGTGAAATTTTATTACTATTTAAAATGACTGGATTGTATCGTAATATATTTTAAAATGTAATTTGTTTTTGATGCAGGTCTGATTTTTCAGTATCATTACTCCAGTCTTCAGTGTCACATGATCCTTGCTAATCAAGAAATAATTCTTCTTATTAAATCATGTTGAAAACAGTTGTGCTGCATAATATTTTTTATGAAAACCTTTTTTTTTTGATAAAGTTCAAAAGAGCAGCATTTGAAATATTTTTCTATGATAAATGCACCCTTACTGAATATTATGGAAGCCCGTTTCCGACACTAAATAAAAAATAAAACAAGGTAATTGCTTTTTATCTCACAATTCTGACTTTTTGAATTGCAACTCTCTGAATTGCGAGTTCATATCTCGCAATTCTGACTTTATAGCACGCATTTGTGAGTTATAAAATCAGAATTGTGTGATATAAACTTGCAATTGCGAGTTATAAAGTTAAACTTTTTTCTCAGAATTGTGAATTTATTTCTCGCAATTCTGACTTTATAACTTGCCATTCTGAGAAAAAAAGTCATAATTGCGAGATATAAACTCGCAATTGCAAGAAAAAAAAGTCATAATTGCGAGTTTATATCTCGCAATTCTGACTTTAGATTAACTCACAATTGCGAGTTTATATCTTGCAATTCTGACTTTATAACTCGCAATTTTGTCTTTATAACTCGCAATTGAATTGCAGAATTGCAAGATATGCATTACGAGTTTATATCTCGCAATTCTGACTTTATAACTCGCAATTTTGACTTTATAACTCGCAATTGAATTGCAGAATTGCAAGATATGCATTACGAGTTTATATCTCGCAATTCTGACTTTATAACTCGCAATTCTGACTTTAGTAGGATTACTAGATTAACTCACAATTGTGAGTTTATATCTTGCATTCTGACTTTATAACTCGCAATTTTGACTTTATAACTCGCAATTGAATTGCAGAATTGCAAGATGAGAAAAAAAGTCAGAATTGTGAGATAAAAAGTCGCAATTACGTTGTTTTATTTTTTATTCAGTGGCGGAAATGGGCTTCCATAGTATATAACTATTAATTAATTTGAAAAATCTTTCTGATCCCAAACTTTTGAACAGATGTATTTGTTTATCCATTCACCTCATATTTAATCTTAAGTAAAGCGTTAGGTTACCCAGAAATGAAAATGCCATTCCAAACCTGTCTGACTTGACATTTGTACTAATTTTGTGCTCCACACAAGACAAGAAGTATTACAGGTTTGGAACAAAATGAAGGTAAGTAAATGATTGACTATTGATCTTTTAAGCATTATCTAAATATGAAATAATGAACTTTTATTATATTTTAATATTATAATGTCATCATTAACTTATATTTACTCTCTCAAAGGTTGTTTGTGTGGGGTTTTTTTGACATGCAAATGTTGCAGCATGAAGCACGTACGCAGAACTGAACGAGTTTCTAGAGACGTTTTATGAGTGAGAGGGTTAATGCAAAGCATTTACCAGATTATTTCACCCCTGCAGAAAAGCCTGTTCTTCTGGGAGGACATTTGGTTTAGTGTTTAGCGTTTAGCTGTTGAGGTCTGCTTGAAATGTTTTTTGATCTTTAACAAAGTTCCTCTTTTTGCAAGGTCTTTTTAGTTTGTCTTTTTCAGATAAGAAATAATTGCATATTAACATGTATTTACCAGACACTTTATACATTAGACAATTAGATCAGTTTGTTCATTACCAGCACAAGCAAAGTCATCATGCATTGGTTGTAGTCACTGTAATGGGAAATGTCAGCATATCAGTTGTGTCTGGTTCTCATTTCGAGCTGCTCATCTCAATCTCATTGCTGTACATTACACTCAGTCATAAAGATATAAAGATCCAAGCAGTGGGCTGAATGACAGTCTGTATTTATCAACCGAAAACACTCTCCTCGCAACTCTCAGAATAAATAACAGCTGCTATAAATCCTTCATCTTGTTTTCTTCTCCTGAAGATGTCTTGCTCCTGGCTTGTTTTTACCATGACCTGCATTTAACCCAGACTATGAATTATGGAACATAGTTATTGCATTGATTGATTTAGTAGTTTTAAGATGCAAAATTCTGAGCATAATGATTATCGCTGTTTGTAGCGCATCATTGAATGTTTTACAACCGCTGTGCAATTGGTACATGCTTTTGAAGAAAGTGAAACAATGAGTCTGTGCTTCGTCGAGTGCTTTCAACCAGAGGATCAAGCTCCTCATGTAAATGGTTGCCAGGTTATTGTTGCCCTTAGATATGGAGGCAGGGTGGGAGGGAGGGAGAGAGTGAGTCTGAAAGAAGTACTGAAAACTCAGCTGTCAATCAAGCGCTACGCCTCCTTTGGTGCGTCATGCTGTAGGATGGCCTGCTATTTCATGTGCATTTTAACACTTGTGCATTTGCATGACAGACCCGTGACTTGCAAATAAGCCTGGATCTCTCTTGCTGCTTTCAAACAGGTGGCTCACTTCTGCACACGCCAGCAGAGGAACACAGCAACCAGGTAAAGAGCTCTTTATATATATATATATAATTATATATATGTTTTTTTCCATTATTGTCATTAGAATTTTGACCGCTTTACGATGAATCTGTAGTATTTTGAAATATCCCATAGCATCTTCAGAGCACATTACTTGTCTTTGTGTCATTAGTTTTGAGTCATTGATAGTCAAACATCACTGTTACTGTTGCTAATACTTAGGCTAAGGGATTGTTTATTAAACTTTGGCGTATAACTTATTCTGCACATTTGTGATATGGACAAATTATGCCTAAATGCTATGTGTGCTGATGCTTTTTTGCCTGCCTGAGACATTGAAGAAAATATCTAAGGCATATACAGTGATAAGAGTATTATACAGACCTATTTCGCCTAATCAAACATAAATCAATAATTGAATGTTCACACTTTATATTACCAGTACATTTACTGGACTTTTTTTTGGTAACACTTTATTTTAAGGTGTCGTTGTTACACATGTACTTTCTATTATAATACCAATAAATTATGCATAATTGCATGCAAGTAACCCTAAACCAAACCCTAACCATATAGTAAGTACATGTATTTAATTAATATTACTCAGTACTTAAACGTATAATTGCACTGTAAAAGGGCATGGATAATGGCAGTTATATGTTCCTTATCCATGACCTTTCCAGGTCTAGAAATCACATTCATTTATCCAGTTTTTCCAAGATTGTGAGAGTCCTGGTTCCGAAATAAGAATGACAGTTGTTGAGGGAACAAATGAAAATAAGATGCATGATGCCAGTTTACATCTTGCTCGTTAGCTTGTTTAGTTTATTTCAAATCTTGTTTGGTCATATTTTAAATCATTTGAAGTCATCTAGAGGCCCTTGGGAGTTTAAGGCCCCATGTGGGTCCCATCCCTCTGATTGAAAACAGCTGCCCTGGCATGGCGGCAGTAGGGTTTACAATGGAAAGCACCACTAAAAATGTCGTCATAAATCAAAAAAATATTTTTGTGTTGCTGATGAGGAGTCCATTTTCTCTATCAAAATTGTGGACTAGTATAATTAGAACTCTTTTTGGTAACACTTTAGTAAAGGGACCAATTCTTACTATTAATACCTTTAAAGCACTGAGCATATAGCAGCTGTTTTAAAGAAGACATTTTGGATGTCACACAGTATTTGCATATTCAGACATTAAAAAAAAAACTCTTCATCACTTCCTCTTTAGTGGCTTGTTTTTGCTGTAGTTCAGATGCTTCTTATTAACTAGCGTGTGCATGTTTATTAATGATATTTAAAGAGGAAAGAAACATTAACAGTCATTAACAGGGTGCAGAGGACAAACCAGTTTCCCACTCATCCATAAAATTCTAAATCTAAATCAGAAAGAGGCAGAGGTCCAAAACATACAGGCTGAGGAGGACAGAGTCGTACTTCAGCTGCAGCTCATTGGAGCATCAGGCAGAAACCACACACACACACACACACACACACACACACACACACACACACACACAGCAGTAACGGTCCAGAAAAGCACGAGAAGGCTTCTCCTTAAATGGTCAAAGCTCCCAGGAGTCACAGGGAGGCTGGTGCAGGGAAAAAAGTCAGGGAGAGGAAAAGAGAGACGAAGCTGAAGATTGTGGAGCTTTGAGGAAAAATATCAACAGCACAAATACAAAGAGGGCTTTGAAGGAAATAGTGGGCTGTTGACAGAGCATCTTGCATCCCTGTTGGCCAATCAGGTAGAGTTCCAGCAAGTTTTTCTTTGCATGGATTGATTTATGTCTCTTGAGACAAGAGCTTGCGGTGGACACTTCAAGAAAGAAATACTTTAAAGAACACAGCATGGTTTCTTGGGAGGTGTGACATTGTTTTAATGGCCTAAAACTACACACAGTCTGCTTAGGATCAGCACAGGTTACATGTATACAGTTGTGTTTGAAAGTCTGAGACCACATTTCAAATCTGGGATTCAATCGTCGTTTAATTTAAACCTGGAAATACAGTTTTATTTCCTGCTCTATTTATAGCTCTCTAATCAAATAAGCATAATTGTGCCACTGATCATGTGACAGACAGGCAGATGTTCTTGTTTCCATTGAAGCTCAAGGTGCTCTTTGGATGATGCTCAAATCAAATCATCATCAGGTTTTATGAACTTGGCATTTATTGTCAGATTGCATCCTGCTGTCATTAAAGCAAAGCAAATACTAGACTATAAAAAGTAACTTGAAATTTATAGCTATTTATACCTAATCTATCCTGATCTAAATTTAGTTTTGTTGACATAGCCCAGTGCATTTAGTAAAAATATTATGTAATTTAAATAATATCACACTTAACGTAACATTCTAAAAATGTCATTTTTTCCCATTCAACCACTCAAATTGTTGTTAGTAATAAAAAACGTATTTAAGAAAATCCAAAATGCGTTCATTTTACGAATCTTTTCTTCAAAACTTTATAGAACTTTGCAGTACGTTTTAGAAGATAACATCACAACTTTTTTTGTTCAATTAAAATCCGTCCGACATAGATTATATTACTTTTCATATTTATGCAAACAAGAAGTGCAGAGTTCTGCTAATTATTGTTATTAATTATCATTGTTGTTTTTAAATATCACAATAATGATTCAAAATAATGATTTCAGTGTGTGTACCAGTACTTTTCGAAACTTTCCAGCACATTTTAACAATACCATGAATACTATTGGTAACACTTTAATATAAGGACCAATTCTCACTATTAACTAGTTGTTTATTAGCATGCCTATTATTAACATATCGACTGTTTATTAGTGCTTATAAAGCACATATTCTGCATGACCATTATCTCTAATCCTACCTAATACCTAAACTTAACAACTACCTTACTAAGTTTATTGAGGCAGAAGTTGTTGTTAATGATTTGTTAATGGTGAGAATTAAAATAAAGATAAAAGAAATACCATAATATTGATAACCTTGATCATTTTGGTCACTTTGATCGTGGTATGAAATTTTTCATACGGTTTTATCTCTATTTTACACTAGTGGTCTAATACTTTTGTACCTCATTGTATGTGAAGCCATTTTCTTCAACATCTTTCCCGATATAAGTTGTAAAGTTGAAATTCTGCATTTCTTTCATGTTTCTAGTTTCCCCAGTTTATCATGACAGGTTTTTGGTGATGCTCACCTAAATCGCCAGTTTCTCAAACACTCCCTCCATTTCCTGTTGTTTTTGTTTACAGTGACTGTATAGCAACCACTTCCTTTTTCACACAACCAAATTTTCATCAATTCTGGCTCACTGTATGTGTGTTACATAACAAGTGAAGGCAGGGGGGCAGGACGTGCACTTTCTCATGCAGCTGCGTCAGAGCTTTTGCCATGAGGTAACGCTGAGGTCATCAGGGACCCGGAGGGACCTGCCATCAAAATGACCTTCACCCTCCTCAGATTTATAAGACTTGAACTCCTCTCAGTAGTGACAGTCGAAGGCCAAGTAAAAATAGATACAGTCAATGAGAATAGAGCCCAAATTGACCACAGAGAGAGTTATAGAGAGAGAAAGCACACAAACATAGACTCGTAGCCAGCAGGAAATAATCAGGGTGATTGGATTACACTGCAATATTCATCTGCGTGTCAGTCTCTGCAGGGGAACGTGCTGCTGTCTGGCCTTCCTGAACGGCTGCTGGACCACTGAAATCATTTAGAGTGCCATCTACCATCTACTTACCCTTATATAGTACATACAGTATATCAAATGCCTAGTTTTTCATATTTGTGACCAAGTGTCTTAAGTGTCAATTTTTCAAAATTGAGATTTATACATCATCTGAAAGCTGAATAAATAAGCTTTGCATTGATGTATGGTTTGTTAGGATAGGAAAATCTGGAATCTGATGGTGCAAAAAAAAGAAAGAAATCTAAATACTGAGAAAATCGCCTTTAAAGTTATCCTAAGTTATACTAAGTCCTTAGCAAAGCATATTACAAATCAAAAATGAAGTTTTAATATATTTACAGAAGGAAATTTACAAAATATCTTCATGGAACATGATCTTTACTTAATATCCTAATGATTTTTGGCATAAAAGAAAAATCGATAATTTTGACCCATACAGTGTATTTTTGGCAATTGCTACAAATATACCCCAGCGACTTAAGACTGGTTTTGTGCTCCAGGGTCACATTTATTGTGTACTTGTCTTAGTCAGTGTTGGGGAAAGTTACTTTTAAAAGTAATGCATTACAATATTGCGTTACTCCCTAAAAAAAAGTAACTAATTATATTACTTAGTTACTTTTTATGGAAAGTAATGCGTTATGTTACTTTTGCGTTACTTTTTAAATCTCGGCAGGGCTTGCTTGTTTGGTTTTAATATAAAAAGTTCTATTTTTGGCAAACATAAAAGCCCTTTCGCACCAAAATCCTCAGGCTGAAGGAAATGTAAATTCATATCTGTACAGTAGAATTCAGAAGGAGAAAACTCAACACTCTTCAGCAGTAAAATAAAGAACAAATGTTAGTTTATCTTGAGTAATTTTTGCTTATTAGTAAGGTTGAATTGGATCATCGAAGGTCAGCAGCAAATACACTGGATAATACAATGGGATTAAATACATAAAGGATATTTGTCTTATTTAACATATTTAATTATTGCAGGTTTGCATCATATTCGGAGTTGTTTTTATTAATTTTATTATTTTTGAGGAAAACTGAATCGGGGTTTTTTTTGTGTGTGAGTGAGATGAATTAATGCATGTTCACATTTAGTCTAGAACTAAAGTAACATCTTACTCCCGATTTCTCTCAACATGGGGACAGGAGAGCTTTCAATCAATAAATGGGGGTGAGAGTAACTGGCGTTACTTATTTGAAAAAGTCTTCTTGTAAATGAAAAAGTAATGCGTTACTTTACTAGTTACTTGAAAAAAGTAATCTGATTATGTAACTCACGTTACTTGTAATGCGTTACCCCCAACACTGGTCTTAATCATTGTGATATTGTTAAAGAGGTGAAAGCCAGGCTGTTTTTCTTATATACACATTATAAAATATGATTTATTCCTGGCAAATCTGAATTTTCAGCAGCCAGTATTCCAGTTTTCATTTTTTTTTGTGTGAAAACCATTATACATTCTTTGATGAAAGTTTAAAGCAAGTTTTTGAAGCAATGTAAAAGTCTTTCCTGTCACTTTTGATCAATTTAATGCATCCTTGCTGAATAAACATTAATTTCTTTTTTTAATATACTCACCTACAGTTTCGAACAGTTGTGTAAAAATAGCTGCGATAGCAAGCTGCGTGTGTGTGTACTCACCCTCATGTCATTCCAAACCTGTAGAAGTTTCTTTCTTATGTTGAACACAAACAAAGATATTTTGAAGAACCAAAGAGTTGTTGGTCCTCATTGACTTCCGTAGTAGGGAAAGAAATACTATGAAAGTCAATAGGGACCTTCAATTGTTTGATTACCAGCGTTCTTCAAAATATCGTCTTTTATGTTCAACATAAAGAAACTCGTACAGGTTTGGAACAACATGAGGGTGAGTAAATGATGACAACATTTTCATTTTTGGGTGAACTGTCCCTTTAAGGAATATAAAAATAAACAAATGAAACAGTTGTTTACAGTAAGGAATATAGAGCTATAAAATGAATGTGAATCGCACAGCTCGAATAATGCTATAGAATTAATGGGAAATGTTTCAGTTAATATTGAAATCGTACTAAAAGACTTTTATTGCAGTGCTATATTGGCACATCTAAGCATGTTTTAAACATTAAGGTCTGCTGAAACACTCCAGGAAACACATGATTACTAGGGTGTTTTTCTCAGGAGAAAATTCCGAAAAGCAGGAATTTAAGAAAAAGTCAATCTCGTTGCTATTTTGAAGTAACAGTTGAAGAAATCATTTGGGAATGGATTTCGTTTTTCCTACTGTACCGATAGGAAGATGGTCAAACGCTGACAGCTGTGTCTAAAGCACATCACAAAACATGATTCATAAACTCCCATCAAAATCAAGCCAATATCAATCATTGCAGTTCTCTGAGGTTTCACACGTCCTGTGTTGAATGTGGAAGAGATTCTGTTGATATTGTGCCTTCAAAACCGTTATCTCGTCCGCTCAGCACTACACTCTCCTATTTTAGTCAAAGTGTTAGGGAAATTATTATATTTTATTTTTATATATTATATAAAATTATATTTTGAATGGTCTTTTCTGATAAGATAACATACACAGCACACAACAGAACAGAGGAAAGATTCATCTGGCATAGAGTCATCAATGAAAATGTGTATGTTGTGTATTGTTTTTAAGGTCAGCCAAAACCCAGATGCAACCCTCCTAGATCAGGATCCTGGTTCACCATCTGAGCTTTGGCGTAGACGTGCTGTCAGAGTTTGCTACGAGCCAGTGTCTACCGGTAATATTACAAAAAGATTGCTCTTTTCTTAGCTCATGTGTTCTCAGTTATGTTTCAAAGAAATAATCAACTTCGCCTCAGATGTTTCATCCAAAATAACGCAATGTAACAAAAATATGTTTCACTTACATTTTTATGGTTCTTTTGTAATTCTGTCGTGCTTATTATTAATGTACTATTTATTTTCAGATAGCATCGGTATTTTGGTAAATATTTAGGTCAGGTAAAGTTTATAACTTCTGTCATTAATTATGAAACATTGGTTTAGTACAGATGAGTTTTTGTACTGATTTTGCATGTTTTTTAAAGGGGTCATATGATGCGATTTCAAGTTTTTCTTTCTCTTTGGAGTGTTACAAGCTCTTGGTGCATAAAGAAGATCTGTAAAGTTGCAAAGACTAAAGTCTCAAATCCAAAGAGATATTCTTTATAAAAGTTAAGAGTCAACCTCGCCTACCTAAAACGGCTCGTTCTAACACGCCCCCACATATCTACGTCACTATGTGGAAATATTAGCATAATGCCGCCCAAATGTGCACGCAAAGAAAGGCGGCGTGGTTTCAGGAACAGCAGTAGTGTTGAAGCAGCCATGTCAGGGAGACGCTGTGTGTTTCAGTGCGAAAGCAAAAGCACTTTATTTGGCCTTCCGGAAGTCGATGCAATTAGGAATCATTGGTTAAGATTTATTTACAACAGAACAGCACAACCCAGATGTTCGAATTTGTGCAATGCATTTTATGGACGACAGTTTTTTGAACCTAGAAGAGTACAAGGCTGGCTGTGCATAAAGGCTATTTCTAAAAAAAAATTAAAAAGGTAAATTCCGACTTTGCTATGACAATCTGGCGCTTCTGAATCAGCGACTGTAAGTATGTTTTGTT